CCCCCACGCCCGCCCGCCGCCCCAACCGGCTCACGTGATGGTGAGCACCGGCGGCGTGATGTGGTCGCGCCTGTCCGCGCGTATCGTGACGTCCAGCGCCATCGCCGAGGGGTACACCACCGCCTTGGCCGCCGCGCCGCCCTTGGAGCCGGCCAGGGTGTCGTCGACAAAGAAGAAGCGCCGCACGTGGCCGTACGACTGCGGCGCGACGCGCGCGCGTGCGGCCGGAGCAGGCGGTTCAGCGCCATCCAGATCAGCAGCGCACGCACATGGCTCCACTGCCGCGCGGCAAAGCGACCAGGGGCGTGCAGCAAGCCAGTCCGCTCTGTGCTGACGCAGCACACGGGCAGCTTAAGCCCGCGGCCGCGTCCCCTGCCTTAGCTTTCCGGCCGCCCTCTCCCCAAGCGCACCTGTCCCACGCCCCCGGCGCCGCCGAGCGGCCGGTTAGTCACCAGCACCGGCACTGGGTACAGGGTGCCGTCGTCCTGCATCAGGTAAGGGTCGTACAGCCTCGGTCCGTTTGAGCTGTAGTCAGCTATCGCCAGCAAGGAGTCAACCCCTACTTGGCAGCTGGTGGTGTAACTCGTTCCAAACCTGTGGATTTGGCATGGGGAGCAGGAAAGCAGAGAGTTGTAGTGGGCGGCGGCGCAGGCCGGGGCCAGTCGCGGCCTCACTTATGCGAGGGAGGAGCGCGTTGGGGGGGAAGCAGAGGTGAGAACATGCTCTCATTGGTGGGGTGTGTAGATGGGCTGGGACCAACGAGTGGGGCACTACAGCCGCGACGAAGCCACTGGTTGCAGCACGCACGTCGGGATCCCCGTGCTGCACTCACAGTGTGCTCGTTGCTGCCAGCTGCCAGCAGCCGCCCCCCTCACCGGTTCCACGCGTCGGCGTCGCCAACGCCGGTCCCGCAGGCCTGCAGCTGCACTGTCCAGTCCCGCAGCCCCAGCCACGTCCCATAAATGTCAAACTCCGACAGCACCAGCCGCAGCTTTGCAGCGCCCGGCGCCAGGCTCGCCCTAGCGGATGCGTGCGTGTGCGTTCGTGCACGTGGGTGCGGACGTCAGGGGTGCGAAAGCAGGGGGCAGGCGCTTGTGCTTGGAGGGCTCAAACGCTGCCAGCTGCGACCCCTGACTATTTTTGCCGCCTTCTGGCAGTTGTGCCGCCGCGCCTGCTGCCAAATACTGATCACTGGCATTAAGAGATCCAACACACACAGCCACGCCCCAAAAACCACCCTGGCTGAGTGCCACCGCCGCCGCCAGCCACGCGTTCTCGACCGTGCAGCCAGCAGCCCCCCTTTTCACACACGGTCCTCACGTGAACTGGACGTCAGTGGCGGCGAGGTAGTCAGTGCCAGCGCCATACAGCAGCCACGGCAGCGCCCCCGTCTCCGGCCGCGCCGCAGCCGAGGCCTGGCCGCGCCGGGCGAGCGCCGCGGCGCCCGCGCCCTGCTGCAGAAGCACCAGCTCGTCGTACAGCGCACACGCCGCTGCGTCACTGCATGCAAGGGGCCCGGGGCGGCGAGGAAACAGGCAGGAGGACCCGGTTGCCGCGCTGGACCGCAGGCAGCCAACGAGTGCGGCAGAGATGCAGCGAGGTCTCGACAGTGTCGACGGCACCGCACAGTTTGGGCTTCAATGCAGAGAAGGGACGCTGGGGCCGCCGCTGCCGCTCGCCCTGGTGCTTGAAGCCAGCAGCCCCAGGAAGCACAGGCCGTACTTGCCCGTGGAGCGGCTGCGCCCTGCAAAGCCCCGTAACCCACGCCCCGCCGCTGCCCCGTGCGTTTGTGTGAACCCCTCACACACCCCCCTCGCCCCTCAAATACCCCACTAGGCCACCCACGGGCTGTAGAGCTGCAGGGCGCAGAGGTTTGCCACCGCATTGCACCCCTGCCTGTCCCCGTCGTCCATGCAGCTGCGCGCCGCAGGGCCGAGCCAGCGCTCCAGGGGGGCGGAGGCGTCGATGACGTACGCAGGGCTCGCGCCAGACGGCTCCTGCACTGCCTGGATGGTCGCCTGCACGGGAGGGGGTGCAACGGCCAGCAGCGGCGGCAGCAGGGGGGTGCTCGAGTGTTGTCCGAGCGGTCGTGGGGCCGGTGTCCTCGGCACGGTTTGTAAGCAGCAGGAACGTGCAGGCACGCCACTTCGCCTGTGAGGTCAGGCTTGGCCAAGCAATGGCCTTGCAGAAAGAACAGCGGCAGCAGCAGCAGCAGCAGCAGCAGCAGCAGCAGCAGCAGCAGCAGCAGCAGCAGCAGCAGCAGCAGCAGCAGCAGCAGCAGCATCAGCAGCAGCAGCAGCAGCAGCAGCAACAGCAGCAAACCCGACTCCCCCAAGGCTAACCCGACTCAGTCGCAAAGGTTCGCCGCCGCCCTCTGGAGGCACACCTGTGTGGCCGTCTGCAGGTTGATGCCCGCGCCCTTAGCATTCAGCGCCGCCACAACATACGCCAGGTCACCCTCAGGCGTCCTCAGCCCGCCCCCAGCCGGCACGCACGCGCCCGCTGCCGCGTCGGCGGCGTCGCCCGCCGGGCAGACGACGCACCGCGCGTAGCGGCGGCCGCCGGACGCCATCCGCGCGACCACGCGGCCGGGGCCGGGCGAGGTGCAGACGCACTTGCCGCCCGACAGCGCGGCGGGCGCCCACGACGCGGCCTCTGAGAACCCGTTTTGAAATGAAGTTTCGTTGCCCGCCTGGGGGTCGCACAGCGCGCACGCCACGCCATCATCATCAGGGAAGAATCCAGAGGCCTGCGGGTGCCGACGGCAGATGTTAAGGACCGCTGCGGCACAGGGGAGCGGCGTGTACGGCTCCTGGGTCATCAGGCGCACGCGTGCGCTCGTCGAGAAGGCCAGGGGGGGTGTCCCCAGTGGCCAGCGCAGCTGCCACGCGTCCGCTGCGTGCTTGCCTGATCGCAGGTTTGGCACAGCAGAGATGATGTGTCAAAGTATCCTGTCGCGGCGTTGCATGGGTACTGATACGCGACGCTGAGGGAGGCTTGGCCCATGGCGGCGAGAGGCAGCAGCAGGAGGAGCACCAGCAGTGGAAGTAGTGGGTTGCCCGCGCCGAGCGGCGACGACCAGCGTCCTTGTGCCGCCATTGAATAATCTAGCAAGTTATATTATTACGGTCTCATGCTGTTACCAAGAAAGCCACTCGCGTGTGATTGCTCCGCGGTGCCGCGAGATCGCTCCGTGAGGCTAGAAATCTGATTAAATGATTGAGGCAGCGTTCCAAAAGATTATGTGACAGCAGCTCCGGATCTTGCAGCAAGCGTGATCTGAGGGGGTGTGTTTGACTGCGCATCCAAGGGCAAGTTGACCATACCGGTACGGTACACGATGCTCACTATGCGCACATAAACATCAAGTGCCCCAGTGCAATCATCTGCCAAAATTTCAAGAATAACAACATGTCTGCTCTGCCTTGCCGGAAGTATGCATGCCACAAGTCATGGGCGTACTGCCAGGCGATAAGCAGCCTCATCAGCTCACCTTGCATTGGCGGTGCTGCGCCGCAGTGTCACGCCCCAGCACCCCTCCGCTCACCAGCGCAGCAATGGCATTGTTACATGTAACAGGGCGGCAGAGCAGCCGTAATGGTGACAGCGGCACGAGCGGAGACGCGCGACGGCGCAAGCGAGGCGGGTGGATGGGAGAGCGCGCCTGGGCCTATCCTCAACTCCTGCCTGTTGCCCGTGTGGCAGGTGCGTGCACAGGAGCCGGGGCAAGACCCAGGCACAGGCGAAAGTAGAGATCAGGGCGTGTGTGGCAATGATTGGATTTCGCTCACGCAGCGCACATCTGCCGGTGTGCTCTGTTGCAATGGTACAGTGGGGGTAGGGGCCTGGAGGGCCCGCAAGGCGAGAGGCAAAAGACGCACACCGGTCACACAAAAAGCAGGCGCGCGTAGGCAAAAACGCAGGTGGAACACTTAAGCCGGCCGAGTAGGGGCACCGCAGTAGGGACGGCCTCCGCGGCGCGACGCCGGAGGCGCGCTAGGAAGTACACGCGACTAAGCCGTAGTACAGTTGGTCAAGGGTCAGAGAGCAGTGGCATCCCCTCGCGCGACCGCCGCACGTCGCAAAGCCGCTCGCGAGGAGACGTTTGAGAGTGGCTTTCAACCCTCTCGCCGCCCTCATCCCTCAGGTGCGAGGCTGGCCAGGCCCTGGGGCCTGCGCCACCTCGGCCCGCCGTTATTGGATCCAGGACATGCAGGGTGTCACAACGTGTGCAGAGGAGCGGCGCCCCTTGGGCCCGCCATGCGAGCCTTCAGAGGGCCCCTAAGCATGCCTTGCGATGTGCGGCACGCATGCCGGCGAGGAGGGGGTCGAGCAAACTCACGCATATGGAGACTCCATCGCTCGAAGCGCACAATCCCTCAAGCTGCCGGGCGGCGGCGGCGGCGGAATCGCTTTTGCCAGTTCCCTCAGGGAGCACCGCGGTGGTCGCGCGGCAGGCATGCCGTGGGCAGGCTGTTAGCTGTTCGTAATGGGGCTGGGGCCCCTGCCAGCTGCGACAGGCACAGCCGCGGCGCTGCTTCGCGCAGCGCGCAGGCTGCTGCCGGCCACGGCCAAACCAGCTCACAGCCCGCCGGGCGCCGCGCGGCCGAGAGCAGGAGGAGAGCAATGAATCCTAATGCAGAGCCTGGGGTCAAGGCAAGGCTTGATGGCTGGGGGTGATGGTATCAAGGGTTGAAACAAGCAACTATTGGTGATCAAGCCGGGGGTGGCAGTGCCGGGATGCGGCAGGAAGCTGTCGAGCGGGCCGTGCCATGCGGCGCACAAGCGGCGCGCCCAAGCAGCGCACCAACAAGCGGCGCCGTCCAGCCCGCGGCGGTGCGCCTGTGAATGGCCACACCGCCTGCCAACCAACGGGCCATTTGGAGCTGCGCGCAATCCGTGCAGCCCTTCAACGCAATTTCGTGCTCCGATCCATTATGCGAGGCGGTCTGCAGCACGCCGCCCTAACGCCGCCGCCCCCCATGCGCCGCGCCGCGCCAAGCGGCGCCGCGCGCTGCAAGGGCGCCTCAGAGGTAGGCCATCGAGTGCGCGAAGCCCGTGACCGCGGCGTGCGTGGTGGTGCTGGTGGTGTGGTGGGTGTAGCGCGTGACGGGCAGGCGGCGGTAGGTGGACAGCACCTCCTGCAGGCTCATGATGCGCACCACCAGCTTGGCCAGCTCGCGGTCTCGGCGGTGCAGCTCGTCGCCGAGGCGCCACGACCTTTTCGGGGGTTGCAAGGGGACAGGGGTTGTGGGGGGAGGCGGCGGCGCGGGGTGCGTTTGGGCGGGGGGCGGAGGGAGTAGGGCGGGTCTGCAGGCAGAGGTGTGAGGCCAGCCGGGGCAGCAGTTTCATGGGGTTGGAACCCAGTCGTTGGTTAGCAGTCGGCGATGTGGCTGGTTGCATGTCAAACAGACGTGCTGCGTTGCAGCTGCAACGAGCGGCCCCGTATGCAGCCGGGTTTGCAAGCGACGAGCGGGCAAGCTGCAGCCTCTGCCGTCGCGACAGTAGCGCGCATCAGCCACGGACCATGTGCGGCGCTGCCCCCACCTGCAGAAGAAGAACACGGCCGCCACCGCCGACACGGCGCACCCGCCGCCCAGCAGCACCATCCGCCAGTCGACGCCGCCGGCGCCGCCGCCCGCGCCGTCCTTGCCGCCCGGCGTGCGCGGCAGCATCAGCGCCAGCCGCGCGACCGCCGCGCACACCGCCTCCTGCACTGCGCCGCCGCCGTCGCGGGCGCCCTGCGGGCCGCGGGGTGGGGGGCGCGGTCAGCCACAGGCAGGACAGCCGCCAGTCAAGATACTTCCCCTGAAATAGAGCCTTCAATTGTCCAGCAGCAGCATTGGAACTCTCCGGACCTCAGGTCACGGCAGATTTGCTGAGCCGATAGCCCAGCTGCCTTGAGTGGCCCCAATGCTGGACTGCCTGACCCTGCCATCCCACCCGGCCATGGTCCCATGGGTACGGCCAAAAAAGGTCTGGAAGCACCCACCCGCGCCAGCAGGGTCACTGACTCCAGCACCCAGCGGCTCAGCGCCGCCAGCTGCGTCTCCAGCGCCGCGCCTGCGCCGCGCGGCGCGGCGA